CCTCTTCCTTATTACATGTTTGTTAAAAAAAATGACTTAAATACCCTTAACTAAAATTATCATTGTCAAAGCCTTTTCCAAACTAATTGGGGTTGGCTACACGAATCCTGGACTACCATTCTACTCTATTAAGGGTCATACCTTTAGTGAGGCCATATGTGGCAATATCTTTTCTCACTACTTCCAACCATGTCCTTTTGGGCCTACCCCTTGCCTTTTTTGAGTCTTCCACTTGAACTAACTTCTACCTCCTAACAAGTGTTGTACTGGGTTTGAGTCCACCCTCTCTCATTGTATCGCCTATTGGTGTCACACCTAAATTTTTCTGAATGTATTCATTTCGAATTCTATCCCTTCTTGTCTTGCCATTCATCCATCTCAACATCCTCATCTCCGCTACACTCATTCTATGGGTATATTGTTTTTTGACCGCCCAACATTCTGCCCCATAGAGCAAAGCTAGTCTCACAATTGTCCTATAGAACTTGCCCTTCAACTTCATTGTTATGCGACAATGACATAAAATTCCGGTTACACATCTCCACTTCGACCACCCAGCTTTAATTAAATGATTAAACTGCCCTTGAACACTCTACAACACCCAAAAGACATACATACCCCCAGCATAACTAAATAAGTAGATGTCCAAATAACCCTGGCTTTCTCTCAAAATAAAAATGAAAACCTTAATCAAATAGTGAAATTAAATTAGTTCCATAGGAGGCCACGATGGCCTCATCAGTAGGGAAAGTTGAGAAAACGAAGATTTAGTGGTTTAGAAATGTGGCTTACATAACTCATAAAGGCTCTAAGTTGGAGAAACTTCTTTACAAAAAATCTTTCTTACCTCCTTCAGAGCTTCAATCTACTTCTTTCCATCTCGCTCAAATCTTTAGATGCAATATTTTACCTCCTTCATTCTCTCGGCATGAGTTGATTGTCCCGAGGCATATAGATATGCCAGATTGAAGAAGAAACCTGGATAAGGCACACATCTAAGAAAATATCGGATAATTAATACATGAATCCTCATCAGTAATGAAGCACAAGGCCATGATGTAAACTTTGGAATCCAAGTGACTATAAGTATCAAGTGTTTAAATGTCAAAACCATTTACATGCCCACGTGTATTGGTCGATTCTACAAGGTACTCCATTGTTCATAAATTATTTCCCATACTTTTCAATGGAATATATATATGTGGCTTCAATTGTCTACATACTTTTTGATGGCATGTATAGATGTGGCTTCAATTGTCAACTTTAGATGATCAACTGCATCATACACGTACCCCATGGCAAGCTGCTTCTCAGAGTTCAATATCTTTTAAAATGCTACAGTGCTACTAGAGAAGTTGTAGCCAGCTATAGTCTGCTCGCACTTATCCCAGAACCTCCTCCTATCGATTATCCCCTCAACTTCCCTTGCAACATGAGTTCTAGAGATAGGAGCATCTGAGTCATTCTTTTAATGCTACTATCTTTCCAAGCTGTGATTGCGACCTCAATATCGAAGCCATGGACGAGAATGAGGCAGCAAATCGTGTGACGGCTCCCCTAATAATCTACCTCGCTGTGTATTGCCTCATCCACTATAGTGCCTAGGAGTGGTGGTTCCTGAATTTGGTGATTTTCCCTTTTCAACATACTTTTTTACCCACTTAAGTTCCCTTATGTCTTTAGCATCATGTTCATGCAGTGGCCGCACAGTGACTCCATACAAATGCTTCCTCTTTCTCATCCGCATCTTTCCTGCATTGATGTAGTTGTTGGCATTCTTATTTATTATTTGGACTGCATCGTGCAGCTGCCTTTGCCACATCATCAAGTAGTCTGAACAATAGCTTATTACTCATCACAGCCTCTGGGAATTGATACGTTTGTGTAAGACTTATTTTACGATCCCTTGTATGCAATATTTAGTATTTTTCTTTTTGAGTAAGTTAACTGAATATTTAATGAAATCAAAACATGTCTTTTTTTAGGGTAAATAAAATTAATGCATGTCCTCACATTGATCTTCTTCGAACCATTTGACATAATGGCCACCCTGACCTCTGCCACATGTTCTTGTACCAATCCACAAACAGCCTAGTAAGCTCATGTGTAGTCAGGGCGTTGATTCCAAGCGCTGCATTAGCTATCATGGATAAAAGAACTTTGAAATCGCCTTTATGACGTACTTTTCAATTGTCTTAGTAAAACTGGACTTGACGGTCCTCTACTCTGATGAAGGCTTTGAAACAAAAGGTAATTTGGCCTTTGGTAGGCTGCATGAATCAGGTGGATTCAGTGGGCTAAGAAGGTTGTTTAGCATGGGCTCCTTTTCCCCTACCTCTCTCTATCATGCTTGCAGACTTCAGCAAACCGGGCAAGTAAGTACCATGTGGTTTGAGTGTATCAAAAAAAAAAAGTACCATGTGGTTTGAGGTAGCTCTTTTGGACCTTCTACAATGCTTGTTGAGGATTTGTAGCCACTGGACTTCTTTGGGTGGGGATTCGCATCCTTAAAAGCATCAAAGTTCCAAAGACATGTAAAATAAATAAATAAATAAATAGAAATCCAAAAACCATTTTTGTGTCAAAAAAAATGGTAAATATTAAATAAGGTTGGGAAAAAATAAAAAACAAGGAATATCTCCTAAAAATCATGAACAATTTGTGATAAATGAAGAATAGCTTGGGGAAAACAAAGTCTGGTGTGTATGCATACACAATAACATTTTCCAGTGAAAATAAAAAATGACATAATTGTCATTCCTATAGAGAGTTTGTGGTTTGTATAAATTATTCTAAAATAAAGTTCAAATTTATAAAAAACAATGTTCCACGTTTGGTCAGCAAACAAAAAACCTGGTCTAGTTGAAATGAAGCCTAGATCAACATTGCTTTCAAGTAGTTTGAAGAAATCAAATGAGATCTATAGTTTTACGGTGAACATTTCACTTTTGAGAAAAGGCAAAACAAAAATTATGAAACATAAACATTGTGAATAAATTATTAGTTGTAAATCGATCATTAAAGGTTGCAAAAATTGAATCCTCATTATATTTTTGGTGCTTGATTTTGGATTGGTAATATTCAACCAAAGGTTTTTTGAACTTGGAATGTGGATTTGGATTTCTGTCAAATCCCATGCATTTTGTTAGCTTTCTCACAAATCTGGTTAAATGATTGGGAATGCTGAAAAACATCCCTAGGGTTGTAATTTGGGGCTTAATACCCACTGTTGAGAAATGCAAACTTCAATGTTTGTTTCTTCCCCACGAAATGTAAAGAGCACAGTTGGACTCAGTGAGTCATGGCCGAGTGGCCAACTCCACCAGGGCTCTGGGACTTGCCTTAGGCTAACCAGGACAATGATGCGCCCAGTTCTAAACTAGCCAAGGCCTAGCCGCATGCCAAGTAGAGAGCTCACAATGGCATGTTTCATCCATGCGAGTCCAATTCTCCTACTCAAATTGAGAATGTTCTGGAGCATAAAAGCTTTGAGTCAGCATGGGCTCTTTCATCAATGGAGATGGCATTCATCACTCTAATGGTCTCTTTCACCCAAATAGAGCCACTTAATTGGGAGTACAAAACAATGAATACTTGAAGCACATGTAAAAATGGGAGCTGAAATTCAAATACCAAGTGGTAAAGCCTTTAAAGGCTGCAAACCCCAACACGAATTGCTATCCTCTTTTATTAAAAATAGGACTTTAAACATCCCATGATCTCAATGTAAGGAAATATGATAATATGAATAAGTGATCAAGCTATTGTGCTATTCTTAACTTCATATTATCTCATTACCTTCAAGAAAAGCATTTGTTTTAACTTGTAACAGTACTTGGAGTTCTCATGTAATTCCTGTCCACAATGGTCTGCAAATTATAATTATGTTTGTGTCTTCCTGTTTGTTCACCACTCAAATGCTTATGATCACAATATGCCTCTCACGGATGTGATTCACTGAACTAATTGCCCATCATTGTCTACATAAGAAAATGATGGAGTAGATCATGTATCTAAGATCATGCCAGTGAAGAATTATTGAAACGTTATTAGGCTTCTGTTCCTAGTTTCAAAATTTATCCTTGCAAGAAATTAGAAATAGTTTTTTATCCATAGTTTATCCTTTGGAGATTACTTTATCCACCATATAACTTGAGATGTACTTCCACTGCTGCCTATATTTAAATTAATTTGGCTGTAACTTACACTTATTTTGCAGCATATTAGTGTTGGGTAAAATTGCAAAATATTAATATTTCAGAAACTGGGCTCCTTAAAAACATCTAGGCCCAGCAATTATCTTTGACCAGTTTGCCTTTGCCTAGCCTGCCCGTTGTTGGTGTATGAACCCACTAAGTTACTTGATACGTGGATTTTACAGCTTGTGCAGTATTGTCTTAGTGTCTGAACCAATAGATTTATGAATATTGTCCTTGGTCATGATGTACATGACTTGTAGCTTAAGGAACAAAACTTTTCTGGAGTGGCTGTACACTACCAATGTGCTTACTATATGACGTAGTGATACATGATTTTTTTTTTTTTGATAAGTGGTGATACAGGATATATAAATTGAATTTATATTGTACCTGAAATATTCTTTTAATCGTTGGGTTATAATATCAACCTTTATATCCTGATGGGAAATATATGCATAGAACTTTGTATGTCATGCAAACATGTTGCTTTCACTTGTTCTTTCTGCTGTTATAGAGCATTAAATCTATATCTCAATAGTTGTTGTAAAGTATGTGGCAGTGATAGTTTCAGAGTTATAAATTTCAGTTCACTTTCTCTGTTCTTTATGGAAATGTTTGAAATTAAAGGACTTATATAAGGTAAGGATCAATGACATTGTCAGCAAAATCTGGCGAATGCTTCATTTGACATGTGGACTCTTGGACTGACTAAAGCTGTTGTCCTTTGTACTGTCTCTATGTGTGGACTAAATTAGAATTCTGGCTCAAAATGATGATTGTTGATGTTTCCTGTGTCTTCAGATGGCAGATTTAAGTAAACTCATTCGTGAGTTGAAGTCTATTCTTTATGGGAGTAGTGAATCGGAACCAATCGCAGAAGCTTGTGCACAGTTGACCCAGGAATTTTTCAAGGACAATACTTTACGTCTTCTTATCATTTGCCTTCCAAAAATGAACTTGGAGGTAGGCCTGAATTATTTTGTCACCGACAGAAACACATGCATGTGTGTGCATGTGCACATTGGCATATATATGTACCTGTTGTACTGTGTTGGCTTTAATAGGTTCTTTCCTACAAAGTTTTTCTCAAAAAAAAAATAGGTTCTTTCCTAAGAAGCACAAACATGTTTGGGACCCAATTGTCCTACCATGAGAGCTATGTTCTATTGTCTATTAGTTTCCTATTAGGCATCTATATGTTTCAGGTTTCTATTTTTTAATAAACTGATAAGGTCTTGTACTTAAAGGTAATTTCGTGGTCCAACTCAAAATTATTTATATATTTTTTATTGAATTTGTTGTCTGCTCTCGTTTGTGATGACTTATTTGATGGATGCTTCTTTCCTGCAGGCTCGCAAAGATGCAGCTCAGGTTGTGGCAAATCTGCAAAGACAGCAAGTTCAGTCACGTCTAATTGCTTCAGATTATTTGGAAGCTAATAAAGATCTTTTGGACATTTTGATAGCTGGGTGAGCGCTGTATTTTTTTCCCTTTAGATGTAGGCCTTTAATCTTTATATCATGAGCATGTTTTTCCATACGAGATTATGTTAATTTCTATCTCGCTGCGGTATGTTTATTTTTTATGTGACATCAATGTATTATTGACTTTGGAACTTCAAGAGCATTGCAAACATTTAGTGTAATGTTCGTTTTCTTCATTTTAAAAAATATCTGGTTATACTTGATAGTAATGCTTTATGTTTTCTGTACTATACAGGATATGTGACATGTGCAATATCTTTCCTTTTTTTTTCAGGTATGAGAATGTGGATGTAGCACTACATTATGGTGCAATGTTGAGGGAGTGTATTCGTCATCAAAGTATTGCAAGGTAATTAGCTTGGCTGGTAGCCATTAAGTGGGTTATTGATTCCCTTGAATTTGTTATCATTTCGTAGTAAAGATTCTAAGTAATTATGTTAACTGTTGTACTTCATCATTGACAATGTTTGATATCCATGATTCATGGATCAGATATTTTACACATTTTCTCGTTCTGGGCTATGACTAGCACTCAAACCTGATTGAAGTTACGGAATATTTTTCTACTTCAGTGCTGCATTCTTCCTTATTGGTGCATCTGTCATTCCTTTCTTATTTTTGCTTTAGCTTGCCAACTCATTTGGTATAGGGTCTTTCAAAACCCAAAGACACAAGGTCGAAGACCCTGTTGATATCTTATGATTTCCATACGTATGGGAATTATATACATCCTTAGGGGTCCAAGATTCAAGATCCATGTACAAATAAAGGTGGACAAATTATACTAAAGGGAAATTTATCTAAATACCCATAAGATATGAACGACTTAACGTTGTTCCCAATTGCAACTCTTCCAACTCATAGCCATGTGTCTTTTGATGGGTATTTTGAAATTAAATCAAAAGATATGGGTAAAATGTAAAATAGCTCATCTCTCATGGGTATTTAGATAAATTTTCCGATGTTAAAAGGTGGTAAAAACAAAGTGAACTTTAAGAATCATTTGACTTTGGTTAGTGATATGGAGAAGTAAAAAATGCGAACATGTAAGATTTTGTATGTGAATTCAAAATGAAATAAAAACAAAGCTCAATGTAATTCAAAAATTAAATGAAGAGTAAGAATATGCCCCCAATATCTTTTGTATTTTGCCACCCAAAATGTGGGTGGCAATATGATATTAACTAATTTAGCCACTGGGTGGATTATAAAAAAATTCAGTGGCTGAATCCTCCCCTAAAGATTATAATTTGATCTATAAGTGAACAAGAAAAACAAATGCATTAATTATTAAGTCTCTATCAGAAAATAGTATAGCAAATTTAATGACCCACAATATAGAGAATTCCCAAATGTCGACTACTTATAAAACAAATTAAGACAAAAAAGAATGAACCCCTTGTTAATAGGTGCCAAAAGTAGTGATTAAGTATAAAATTAAACTAAATCTAAACTATTTGCATTTAATTTTCACCTGAAGCCCCTACTAAACATTTTGTGTGAGACCAGTCCTATTGTTCTTGTGATATATTATTAATGAAATTAGGCAACGATTTAACATTAGGACTCAGGATGGAAGCAGGTACAGCTCGAGTCTGACTTTGCCTAGTCTCAACAAGACTCGATTGAGTCTATAAAAAAATATCACAGTAACCTTCGGAAGTGAGAGTTAGTCTGTTCCTGAGGTTTTTCAATAGGACCCAGCACCCACCCTGCTGGGTCTTAGTAACTCAGGCGAATCTGAATAGGACTCGCAGAGTTTTAAATCATTGAACTTAGGAAAAGCAGTCTGGGCAAGTGCATTGGTAGTCTTAAGGGCACATGGGGTTCATATGCAAGGCAGACACCACCTGGTCCCTTGGGGATTTCTGCATAGATTAGTGTCTGAAGTTCTTTTCTTACTATCTGAAGTTCTTTTCTTACCTCTTTCCGGTTGGTTTGAAATTTCCTTGTTAGTAAAAGCCACCTGTCCTGGCTTTGACATTGGGATGTGGTAGGCTTTGTAAATGTAGCCATGAGATGGCTACACATTGCCCTGGTTTGCATTTTTTTGGGCATGGTTTATCAAAAGAGATAAAATTTATCCTCATCACTTCCACTGCATAGTTGTTGTTACTTTCTTTTCATTTAGAGTTGATTTGTATTATGATCTTCTTGGCAGAAACATAAAAGTTTAGGTTTTTGGTAAGACTCTTACTATGCCTTTTCTATTATTATTTGCGATCATCAAAAGATTCTTTTGCCATTCCATAAATAACTGATGGTTTTCCCTTGCAAATATTTCTTTTATCTTGGAAATGGACCCATGATGGATATATCTATTGAGATACCACTGCTATCATTATTTTTATAAATTTCTTTGTAGAGTATGAATAGTTGTCGGTGCCAAAGTAAATGAATGTTCCTTGGAGCTAGTTTCAACTTTTTTCTGTTTTGCAGATACGTTTTGGAGTCTGAACACATGAAGAAATTTTTTCCCTATATACAACTCCCCAATTTTGACATTGCTTCTGATGCTATGGCTACATTTAAGGTAGTGTATACTAGAATCTGGGGTAGTGTTATTCGCTTTGGCTGACAATTAAATAGCAAAGTGTCCTTTCTCTTGGCCAGAATGTGAGAATTTTGCCCAATCTTTATTTCTTTCATATTCCATGAAAAACAAAATCATATAGTCGAAATATATCTAAAGGTCCCTGTGTGATGCATAAGACCCTTATTAGCTGAAATCCCTCAGAACTATGCCCAAGGAGCAGGGATCTGTGGACCAAGTAATACCCATCATAATGGTTTATTAGTGTTACAAACTTGTCCTCTAGGTGAGCATGCTACAACTCTCACATTGTCATGACTCATACAGTCCTCTTGTTCTTCAGAATTTGTTTTAACCTTTAATCCGCGAGGTTTACAGAGGTCTTCCTCCTTAACAAAGTGAATGCGGCTAAGTGCGGCTCTAAACTTGTGTCTCTCTATCTCTCACAGGCACACACACAGAAAGAGAGAGTAGATGATCTAAATAGAGAAACTGCTGTTTTTATGTGTCTTGCTCTGTCGTATTCCTTGATATGATATACTGGCTGTTGCCTGGTTGCCTAACTTGCTGCGGGCATTTGTTTCATTCCCTGTCCAAAAAGTGAACATGACAGTGCCTCTGATATTAGCTCATGGGTGTTGTCAATTTACAACCTTTATTTATGTGTGTGATACGTTTGCACTGGATGGCTCTCCTATTTGAATTGGCTGGACAGACTTCAGATATTTTGCATTTGTGGACATGAATCAACTATTTTTTTATCGCTCTCCAGTTTTTATTTGTTCATTTCCTCATGAAGTAGTTTACTGTACTTCCTTACGAGTCTTGTGGAACTTAGACATTTGGGACATCATAGGCCTTTTTGGTGTAACCACTGGGAACTGATTTCAAGGAATTCTTATTTGACTTTGCATCATTTAATGCAGGAACTTCTAACAAGGCATAAATCAACAGTTGCGGAGTTTTTGAACAAAAACTATGATTGGGTGAGTCTCGTTAGCAATGGTCGCTTTTTTATGAGATTCAATGCATATAGTATTTGTGATGTCGTTAGTCCAACTTGCATTACTGCAATCAGGCCTGCACTGCCACAATGTGGTTGATATAATGATACGGTCCTCTTTTTACTCTCTTTTTCTCATCCAAGAAATTGCGGTAGGCATTCTTCTAATGTTTCTCTCGTCTGATATCTGGAACCCTATTCAAACAACTTTCTTGATTCTTGATCAGAAATCTTCTTGTAGAGCCTTGAAATATGTCGCTTGAAATTATGGACTTCATGTTTTACCCAGAAATCGTTTATTTGTCTTTTCTCGTTTTTGAGACACTCAGTTACTATATTGTTTATGTTTTCGGTAAGTAGTAGCATGTTGCTTAAATCAAAGTTTCTTCTGCACTACTTTTTTTGCACAAGGAAAATTTTACCAGGGCTACAAAAGAAATGACCAAAAGAAAGAGCAGCAAACATCATTCTGGTGTTGAGAGCTAAAAGCTTCTCCTGGTCCAAATATTGCCAGCCATTATCCTCATACTTCTAATCTTATCTGCTATCAGTTACGAGACTCCTATGGGCCACACATGATTTTCTCTTGAAATCTCATTTGACTCTGTATACATCTGTTATATCCCAAGGAATATGTCCTCTAGCCATCCAATTGAGGAACTGAAAATGACCTCGGTAAACTGCAAAGTGCTTTGCTCCTTCATATTTGCATATTGCCTCTTCCAACTCCACCACCTAAGCGAAGTGAAGCACTTTCCACCAATTTCAGTCGAGCCGTTCCCAACTTGATATTGCATGTTTTACACTCTTCTTAATTGCTCCTTGTACCCCGATAAAACCCCAGAGTTGTTACCATTTCCAAAGGCACTTGTTTAACTACAAGAAGTCTTAACTCATTAGTTAAAAATAACTGAAAGTTCTACTCGGTCTTGTGTTCTTCTTAAAATGCAACCATAGAGAGTCCATCGTAGGAGAGACAGCGAACTTCATACTTAAGGATGTTAGTCGTAAACTAATTTTTCTTAAAATGTAGTATCTAAAACCTATCCTTGTTACGTAAAACGTTTTCTTTGTTGTTCCATATACCAAAAGCAGATCCTGTTTACCTTCATATTTCTTGGACCATATGTCACTGAGTTGCCTCCTATTTTTATGCACCACATATGTAGTCATTCGCCTGTTTTGGCATATGCAGAGCATATGCCCCATAAACTTGAGGTTGGGTGGTTTTTTGTTCGGCCTTTATCATATTGCCTTTTATTTGCAATACCTATTTTATGAATATGTTGTTTCATGAGTATTTATTTAACCTTGTTTTTTTAATGTAATATTTTATCATGCCTTTACAAAAATGGGGCCTAGACAAAAATGGGCCTCTACAACGTAAAATTCAAAATGACAAGGGATGTCTCATGAACACCCTTTTTAGCCAAGGAATCAGCAACCTTATTAGCCTCACGCTAGAAGTGTTGGAAGGAGGCCCTCAGATTGCTGATGATGTCAAAAACCTTGTCAATGACATTGTTCTCTCTTCATTGGAGCTCTGCATTTCTAGTAGCCCACAAGATAACATCCTGTGAGTCCCCGTCAATGAGGATGTCTTTCCAACTTGGAGCTAAACATCTGTGTGGAGAGAGCATGGAGGTTGGCTTCATTAGAAATGGGGCCTGAGAATGTCTTTACATCCTCCCAAGGTGGTCCCAGATTACACTAATGTTTTTTAGTTTCTCCACAGGTGGTCCCAGATTTCACCTTTTAATCCGGCATGTCCATTTCCCCACGATAGTACCTTTGAAATTAAATTTTACTGTGCCTAGCCTTGGGGTGTCACACTTCATGTAGCTGCCACATGTTCCCAATAAAAGGACCCCAAAATTCCTTTGTAATCAAGATCCAAGACATGTTATTCTTTCCTTTCACCAAGTGCGAGTGTGTTGATCGTTGAATATCCTATGTAAATTCAAGGGAATATATACATATCAATCATATTCTTTTTTATGGGTAGCATATAGATCCTATTTTATTTTTGATATTTAGAAATTGTCCCATGTATTTTATATTTGCCAATCCAGTCCCTTTTTTTCAGAATATAAAGTATATTTTAATTTTGTCACTTTTGCCATATTTTAGATTAAACTCAAATTTGGTATGTCCATACTTCTCACTATCATACTCCTATAAAAATATTTTAAAAATAATTTAAAATAAATAAAATTACCCAATTATCCCTCTATACAATTCAGGGGTAGTTTGATAATTTTGTTTATTTAAAATGATTTTTTTAAATATATTTTTATAAGTATATGGTGGTGAAAAGTATGGACCGACCAAATTTCAACCTAATCTGAATTATAGAGAGAGATAAAATTAAAATACACTTTATGTTCTCAAAAAAAGGACTTATTGTGAAAAAGAGAATATTTAGGACTATTTCTAATTATCATAAGTAAAATGGGACTTATATGTAAGTTTCCATACATTCAAGCATATTTTCCACAGCACAGAAATTAAAATCAGTCTTCATAACATGAACCATTGTTTCACCAAATCCTCGATCTGTTCTGGTGTACCCATTGTATGTCAAACCATTCCAACTGCACTTCCTACATATTCCCAGCAAAGGAGCAATGTAAGAACTAAGAACAGATGATGTTGTACCAATCCTACATCTTCTTTGCACATAATGCATTAGGCAACCTGTGATGTATTAGATGGTCAATTGTTGGAGCAATGTAATAACTAAGAACAGATGATGTTGTACCGATCCTACATCTTGTTTGCACATAATGCATTAATTTGTATTAGGCAACCTGTGATGTATTAGATGGTCAATTGTTGGAGTAATGTAAGAACTAAGAACAGATGATGTTGCACCAATCCTACATCTTCTTTGCACATAATGCATTAATTTGTATTAGGCAACCTGTGATGTATTAGATGGTCAATTGTTGGAGCAATGTAAGAGCTAAGAACAGATGATATTGTACCAATTCTACATCTTCTTTGCACATAATGCATTAATTTGTATTAGGCAACCTGTGATGTATTAGATGGTCAATTGTTATCCAATGAAACCAGCCACGAAAGGCTATTGTTCTGTAAGGAGTGGGCATGCCCCAGTTTCCTTGGGATAAATGATGTCAAGGGATAACAGAATGAGGTTATTGTAGGATGATATACTAGAAAACTCATTATGGCTGTTAGGGGCCCAACTCATTTGATCTTCCCTACTGGGCATGTAGTAGATGCCCTCTAACTCCATTAGCATCTCGAGGCCTTTTCTAAAGCATGGGCTCCACACTGTCCTGTGCCCAGATCCATTGTGCTATCAACAACCTTCACATTAGAACTATTGGCTATCACAAATATTTGTGGTACTTCTCTTTTGGTGGCATAACCTGCAGCCAAACATCCTTCCAAGAAAGGGTTTTCCCATCACCTATTCTCCTATTGATCTTAAACCTTTCTCTTACATGGTCAATTTGATAAGCACCCAATGCCTGTATCCTCCCTTCTGTAAGTGTCTTGAAGGTCACTTAACCTCCATCATTGTCTAATTACTTCTTTGATACTAGTCCAACTTAGCACTTTGGCCTGCATGCAACTTTCCATTTAACTAGGTGAAGTCTTTTTTGTTCAGAGTCCCCATTCCTAGGAAAGCAAGCATCATCCTCTTTGTTCTACATGAAATAGAAGGAGGAACAGGGCATAGGGATAAGGAATATAGAGATTGGATAAAATTGATTTAATTAGGGTTATGCGACCCCTAATGACGAGCCGAGCCTTCCACAGTGTAAATTTTCCTTGAAATCTCTCAATTATGTCATCCCATTTTGCATTGGGGGCCTTAAATCAGCAGAGGGGTAAACCTCGCCACTTATTTCAGATGCTATCAGTGCCGGTGTGCCACAAATCACTCTCTTCTCCAGCTGAATGAGAACTTGGTCAATCACTGTTAGACCCGTGAGTTTGTCTTTAACGTATTGCCCTTCAATCTGGAAAGTGCCTGGAAACATCTGATGAATAGCCATAGCTTTATCCATGTGCTTCATGTCCGGATCACAAAATACTTTTGTGCCATATACTGTAGGTAACTAGGATGAGCCCTCAGAAGATGCCTCGTAGCCTCCTGCTCTATAGACCTCCTTAATTGTTGGACTAAAAGCTTCAGCTGTGGTCACAAGTAGTAAGGTAAACAAGGGTCACCCTTCCTGATCCGTCTAGAGCATGACAAAGGACCCCTCGGTGATCCATTTATTAGGACTGAAATCTGGGCTTCCTGTTGTGGGGACATAACTTCATCAAGTACCTCCTTGAATCTTTAAGCCATGACCTGGGTGGGGATTTTGTAGGTGCTGGTTAAGCTAATGCCTTGAAGATCCTTAATATTTTCAATCCCTTACTTTTAAGGTATTAAAGGAATTAAGGAATTTTATTTAAGCTTCAGTCCGTCTTTCTTGTTTTTGTTGTAGTTCTTAACATTCTTATGAGTTACTAATATAGTCTGTCTCTGGAGTTTATTCTTTCGGTTTGCAGTTTTTTGCAGATTATAACTCCCAGCTGTTGGAGTCCTCTAATTACATCACTAGACGTCAAGCTGTGAAGGTATATACCTTTTCATGTAGTAAAATTTGTCATTTCTCTTGTACTTGTTTTCTTGTATATGTTGTTGGTCGATGCAATTCTACAAGCATACTGGAAATATAAAATCATGCTCAAAAGAGATGTATGTTTCTTGGTGGTGACTAATTTTAAAATGCTGACTTATTTTTCAAACTCCTAAATAACCGCCAGGAAAATACGGAGCAGTATTAGTAGTATTTCATGCGATAGTGCATATTTATGTTGGGCTATTTATGTTGAGCAACTCATTAATCCTTTTGGTGCAGCTTCTTGGAGATATTCTACTAGACCGTGCCAATGTTGCCATTATGGTGCGGTATGTAAGCTCAAAAGATAACTTGAGGATCCTCATGAATCTTCTCAGGGTACGCCAGTCTGTATTTGATGTACATAAGGCGACTATTTTTATTTTATAGTTCTTGATATGTAGATCAACAGACAGATGCATCTTACACATCATCATCATCATCTTACACTTCTTAAAAAAAGTCCAAAAGTATGTCCTTTTAGAGAAATATGCTAGTTCTATGCTGTAGATACCTAGGAACTATTGATGAATACTCTTGCAGTTCATCAACTGTTGTGTTTTGATCATAACCTTGTGTCAAAAGGGCACTTGAAATTGACTTCCAAGGGTGCCCATGTGTTACAGGAATCAAGTAAGAACATCCAGATTGAGGCGTTCCATGTTTTCAAGGTACTCTCTATGATTTTGCTGCATATTGTTATTTTCTTCTTCATCGTCATCGTCGTCATCATCATCATCTCTCTCTCTCTCTCTCTCTCTCTCTCTCTCTCTCTCTCACACGCACACACAGAGATGCACCCACACTCACTCACTCAGAGCTAAGAGTAAGATCTAGGTACGCCCAAGTAAAAGTACTGAATTTTGGTTGGATGGTTTCCTTGCTCCCTTTTTGTAGGTATTCGTGGCTAACCAGAACAAGCCTCCAGAAATTGTTAGCATCCTCGTCGCAAACAGAAGCAAGCTGCTTCGATTTTTCAGTGACTTCAAGACTGACAAAGGTACAGAGTGTTGCATAAATCTTGTCAAGCCCATTAGGCTTCATTCATAGCAACAAATATCTTAAAAATACAGAATGTTGAATAAATCTTATCACGCCGAAAAGGCTTCATTCATAGCAACAAATATCTTAAAAAACTCAAATAGTATTCCCATTATTCTTCTTCAAACTATTTTGAAAGAAAATAAGGATGGCTTGATTGATTAAGATGTTGATGATAGCAACACCATGTCCCAATTCAAATCCCAAACTGAACTACCTAAAGAGATTTGCTTCAAAAGAAACCAATAATTATGAAACAATGATTCTGGTAAAAGTTACTGTAGGTTATAATTATATGAAATATAAGAAACCATAAGCCTGTAAACTTCTTGGTTGGTAACATTGGTCCCAATTCAGATAATATATAGGGAACATATGTGTATCATCTGTTTTTTTTTTTTTCTTTATATTGTTCCTTTAATTTGTGTTTTTCTTTGCATTTATAATTCTACTGCTTTTGGATCATAGAGGATGAACAATTCGACCAAGATAAAGCCCAAGTGGTCAAAGAGATCGCAGCCTTGGAACCCAGAGAGCTACCATAGGTTTAGGGGATGGGGGGTTGTACCCTTTATGGCATTGCAAGTTTCTTTATGTAATATTAGTCGGTCTAAATGTGCAATCGTAAGAAGATAATGCATTCTGAATCTTGCTTTAGAGAGCGCTGGTAGCATGTGAAATTCATATATTTATGCCGCATCACCTGATGGCCTGCAGGCCTTTTGATGCGGGATTCATTTGTATTCTCCAGTCTCCACTGTTTTGTGGTGAAGGATACCTGTTATGGGGTTTGGTGAATTACTGCGGTGTTTATTGCATTTTCGCTCAAAAGTGTATATATAGAATTATTGTGTCAGCATCTAGTTTAGGAAGTATTGCATAACTTCTTCTGAGCTGTGGCAAAAATTTGGACTGTCCATTTCTATGGATGATCGAAACATGTGGGTCCTACCCATTACTGAAGTTTGGCCAGCTCATGTCTTGCTTGACTGAATCAGATGTGCTAGGTGTGCTGTATGCCTTAATAGGAGCTACATAAGGTGGATCATCCCTATGAAAAGAAGTGAGCTAAAATGATTCTGTAAGTCTTTCTGTAAACCGTATAATATACTTGAACTTTGTGTGGTCATGGGCACAAACAAGCCATACACCTTCTGTTCTCATTAGGTGTCATTGGAGGTGAACTGATCTTCTACTTGCAGACTTAAAAACAGAAGGGTAGCTCATCTCCTCATCTGTTGATCAGAAAGATTGGTGGATGTGTCAGTTTGTGTGCATAGAAATGCAGCATGTTATATATATGTACCCCCTTGTTGCATTGGAATCAAAGAGTGCTCCCAGTCCTTTCAGGGAGACAGAGAGAATCAACTTTCTAGCATCACAGTGCCTTCGCTGTTGTAATAGTAGGAAGATGTGCTTATGAGAGTGTGCAGGCGTGCGGGTGTGTGTAAGAAAGAGAGAGAGAGAGAGAGAGAGAGAGCATTTCCCAAGCTGTCAACTGCATAATTGCTGTTGAAGCAATGAGGTCCTATTACTTTTCCAAAATCCAACTTCGATGATTGCAACATGTTGACATCTATGGGAGTGAATATAGAACGCAAATATGCTTGGAAGTGGAAGTGAGATGGACCATCCATACAGCCCAAGACAGGTATCAAGCTCTTGAATGAAAAATACTGATGTGAAAGAACACACAAAATAATGAACATGTGGTGATGATGGGGAAATAACATATACAAAATGGGATTCTAGAGTATGTTCCCAAGTTGTCTGTGCTAAAATAATGCCCTATTATTGCACTGCAACTTCACGTGAACAAAAATCCTTTGGAATCATTGCAATGCTTGTGGTCGTGGGATGATTCATCGTTCAGATTGGGTGACCTGGGTAAATACCTATCCTTTGGACTGGTAGGTGTGGAATCACATGTCCTCTCTCTCTCTCTCTCATCCTTTCCTCATGATTTCCCCTCATCCTTTTGAGCATAACTCTACAAATCACAAATATGATTCCACATATCTGAATGGTTGGGAACTTGGGATGCAATGCTTCTTCAAAAGATAAAAGAAGAGGGCATCTTCAAATTGTGCATGTATGTATCATATAGGTTTGCATGCCATCCATCCCCAGTCTTCTTCACTGGACGGTGGAGATGAGCAAACACATCCCCTTTTTTAAGTCTGTCAGTGGAGGCAACTCAGATCTACCATTCATCCATGATGGACAGTGAATAACCACTGTGTAACCTATGCCATGGACACGGATGATTGAGATGAACCATTCTACTCAAAACTGTGAATGTCCTCTAGAGCACCAGTATGGTTCATCTCAACCATTGGCGTAAACAAAGGATGGTCGAGTGGGGTGCAACTCAGGGGGACTTCCATTTCCATCAATCCGCAGTCTATGCCTATGAAGTTCTTTTTGCGCGCAAACTTTGCAAAGAAATTCAAGACAATTTTTGCCATCAATATGCAAAATATAATCGGTTTCCTATCACTTGTAAAAGGGGTACTTCTTGCCATCAATGCGCAAAATATTGGATTCTATGGTAAACATTGCCATCAATATGCAAAATATTTCACTTGCAAAATATAATCAGTTTTGACAGAAAAGATTTGTGCTTCCAAAGGCGCATAATGCACATTTACTGCCTTGATTAAAATCCTGGCAAGGAGTTCATTTCAAAATAAATAAAAAATACTGAAAGGAGTACCTATAAAAAAAAAAAAAAATTGGCAGTTTTTAGGACTATAATTTTGAGGATATGACGTCAACTTAGGGGCCATTTGGATCTCTAGAAAAGATTACCAAAAATTAGTTTTCTAAAAAAATTGTCTATTTCCGCTGAATTCAAAATCTAAGATAGAAAACTTTTCCTGGCAGAAATCCTTCTCTATTTCGAGCTCAAATAGAAAAATAAAAATTTATTTCCATGCCTCATTCTAAAAAATAGCTTTTTCCTTGTTAAACTTTTCGTCTTAGCCGAAACCTTACTCACCCAAAACTTTTGCTCTATCTGGCGTTGCGAATGCACTCGCCCGAATCCGACTCTCTCTCATCAAGCACAAGCGCCTTGGCCACCCAAGTGGTCACACCCAATGGCCAAAACTATTGTCTTCTATCTCCTGATCTGATTCTCTCTTAAGCTGAAGGGGTCACTCTTGATTCGATTTTACTTCCAAGTGATGGGAATCTCGTGTAACTTTCGGCAATAAAATTTGATAATTACTGTTCAAAAAAACAAAAAAAAAAAAAAGAATGCCAGTTTTGTTAGCGGCTTTGAAGGCATTTCAGTTTGAGGTGGTACCCACGGTGGTTTTGGAGGTACCAATACCAACACCTGTCCCCCACGCCTTGTGCAATCATTCAGGCAACGCTAACGTCGGTTTGGACGTGCCATCGGTGCCAACGAAACCGGTTCATAAAAACCGGTCCGGGAAACCGGCCATAAAGTTTTAGGTCTTGGTCCGACTTTAAACTTAGGAAAATCTTTCCATATTCTTTTCATAATATAGAAGTTTTATTTCCTCTTATCCAATCGTTCATTTTTTAATGGAGGGTTAAGATTGCCCCGATCACAATATCAGGTCTTTACACTATTATATTTTTAATTTTTTTTAATAAACTATTTTGACATCAAATTTTGGACGTTGATTCCTCTATTAAACTCGTACTAACGAAAAATATAAAAAAAATATTTTCAATAAAATAAAATGACCAAAATACCCCTAAAGGTTTCAAGGGGTATTTTGGTCATTATTTTTTATCGAAAAGTTATTGTTAATATTTTTTATAGGTGCACTCCAATGAGAAGATGGCACATGCTAAATTTCATATTCAGAAAATTTGTATTAAAAAACTAAAAATAAAATACTTTGAGACGTCGGATCTAAGATCAAACGGTGAGTGACTCTCTTGATAAAAATGGATGACTGGATGGTAAGGGGAGGATAAAACTTCTATGTTGTAGAGAAAATATAGAAAGCTTTTCTTTAAAATTATATATATAAAAAAATCTCAAAAAATATTTGAAGTATAATTAAATAAAATACATCCAAATGAGATTTAACAAGTAGTGGAAAATGGATCTTGAAAAATCAATTTGCGCCCATGGAAAAATATAAAAATAAATATTTATAACCAAAATGCTTCCCAATATTTTCCAAAACAATAGCGAGCATTAAAAACCTATTATAAACAAATTTTTTAACTTTTTGGATTTTCAATTTTTTTTTTTTTTTATTATTAAGTTAGGACGGTCAAGCCGGTTGACCACCCTATCCGGCCAATTTCACAAGAGGGTTCCAGTACTTGCACACGCCCTACTCAATGATCAAGTTGGCTTTACAAACTCATAGGTGGGTACTAATATTTGCAATTATCAAGGAGTTTTATGTATATTGCTATTAGAGGGTCAAAGCTTGTAGCTATAGAGATAGATATCAACCATGCATTACTTGAAGGTCTCTGAACTCTCTCTACTTACTTATCTCTCTCTCCTTCCTCTCAATACCAACAAGTTCACAGGCGCAATCCTTGAGTAAAGGACATTCTCTCTTTAATTACGCTACATATGAGCAACTGCATATTTAGAGGGCCCTTCCCCATATTGTTTTATCTATGCTTAGTCTCATATACCTTGACTTTGGATTTAATAGTTTAGTGAGTTTTGCTTGATGATTTTAAACAATAATCAGTTTGAGGGGTCAACAATAAGGGGAATTCCAGGGTGCATCTAGATGCTATTCAAACAGCAGAAATATATTTCCTGGAAATAATTTTTTACCAAGAATTTATTTTGTAGGCAATATATTTTCGCAACAACATTTTTCCAGGATCTAATGGCCCCTTAGTGACCCATCTAAAAAATAAAAAGATAGAATGAATAGAACCCTCCTACTTCATACTATTTTACTTAAAACCAACTCAAATTGTAATTTTGATATTTTTTAAACATTAATGACAATTTTTACCTGATAATTTCATATCAAGCAACTATTGGTGCTCTTTGAGGAGATGTAGAGGATGAAAACGAACGTTTAAAGCAACTTGCCAAGTTTCGTACAAGGCAGCAAAGTTTTCTTTCACTAATAAAAAAAAAAATAGAGATTTATGTATCTTTCACTAATTAAAAAAAACGTGATTCGGCAACTTACCGACCTACAAAACAGTAAGGTTCTCTTTCAGTAATAAAAAAATCAACGTGCAGACATCATGCAAGCACGAGGAAGCTCTTAAACTAGGTCTGAACACCCACACAAAAGAACTGAAGAAAGCTAATCATAAAATGACTAAAGAGGGAAAGCTCTAATGGAATAGATCGACTCCCTTAAATCAAGGGAACAAGGATTTACACAAATCCTTTGTAAACATCGATTCACGCACAAAGGAGATAGGGTTTTTTAAGATGAGCGCTGAAGGTTTAAACACTCAGGTCATAGAGCCCACATCTACCGTCCGTTCAGGAATATCACGGGCTACAGATATGTACGGGCATGTACACTATTGCGTATGTTAATTTGGGCCCTAAACCCATTTGATAGATGACCGCTGTGTACTCCCTATGGTACACATTTTGTACGAACACAGACTGCGCCGTCTCTTGTGGGGCCCAAAGTTAGAGAGAGAAAAATGAGAGACAGTTAGAGAGAGAAAGGAATAAAGGAGAGAGGGGAGAGCAAGGAGAGAGAGAATATAAATGGGAATATCCGCAGGCCTCGGCATGCTTATAAATGTCCCTGGAAAAGAGCCATCCTAACCCGGGTTTGTGGTGGCTCTCTTCTTTCTCATCCCCCTCCTCTCTCTCTCTCTCTAGCCTAGCTTCCAATTCCAAACAATGGGAGAAAAGGGTACTTTTCTTCAGACGCTTTTGAGAATTGTATCTCTCACCCTGTTCATTGTTTTTCTATTTATCTGGTTTTCACTTGCTATTCGTTCATAGAAACCATCAATCTTTTCTTTGGTATATGTTTCGTGTGATTTTTTTTTATTTTGACAATACTCATTCACATCTAAACTCTGGAATTTGATATTGGAATCAGATGAACTCGACGGGTTTCTCTCAGTTGCTGTTGAAGCTGCAAAGAGGGCTGGAGAGGTGACCTTTCTCTCTCTCTCTCTCGAGCGCGCGCGCGCTGAAGAATGCCATATTTGAACAAAGCTTTATTGTTTTGTACATGTTTCAGATAATTCAGAGAGGATTTTATGAAACTAAGAATGTGGAGCATAAAGGCCAGGTAAATATGTGGATATGGTTTGCTGCGTTATGAATGCAATATTGGGTTGGGTGTTTTTTGTATTCTGAAAAATAACCAGAAGAAACGAGAAAATACTTTTAATGGAATTATGTATTGATAATAGTTAAAAGAAAAAAAGAAAAAAACTGTTTTTTTCTTTTCTGTATTAATAGGATTCAAAAGAACTTTTGACAATGCAGGTTGATCTGGTCACTGAAACTGACAAGGCCTGTGAAGACCTCATATTTAACTATTTGAAACTCCATTACCCAAAACACAAGGTGATAGACTATAATTATCTGGTTTTACTGTTTTAGAAACCTCCCTCCCTCTCTCTCTC